TTGTGGATCGAAAGGATTCAAGGCTGGTTTAAGGTAAATTAACTTGTAATTACGTTCATGTTCGTCCTTTTACATCTTGTAACTGTCAGGTACTTAAATGCGAAAAGATTATCTGTGAATCTGCTCCACAGGTAGGTTGTTTTCGCTCGGCAGATGTAAACAATGCTGTATATACTTCAAATCTTCTCGCCTTTAATTGCATGATTGCTAACTTGAGGGCGAGGCTTAATTTCCTCTTTATCCAGAGCAATTATCGTTATTGTGTCAATTGTTGCAATTTGCTCTGTTATGCTCCTCTCACGAGATAACAATGTTAAAGCAAGTATTAACTTTCCATTGAGACATTGTAATTTATATATGTATTTAAAAAAAAATAGATCATTTCTAATAGGAATTTAGCTGTTTTGGAAAAAGCAAGGTCGAAAACCAAACCCAGTGTTCGTATCGAAATTTATTCGGCTTGTGTTAGACCAGCCTTGACAGTACGCCTTCTCAATTTGTAGAAAACAGTTTCTTGAGCGAAATATTACTAAAAACGCTCACCATTGTTCGTCAAGACTAAATATTCATTATAAAACAGCTCAATGTGTGAAAAAAGAAAAGTTAACGTACCAGATGCATATTGTTAATACTTACTACCACTTGATTATTCGACGACTTTTAATACAATCAAACTATTATCTTTCGTATTTTCCATTTTGGCGGAATAAATATTTATTACTAGCATTATTATTATAACCTGGGAAAAGTTTAACAATATCACCCAAGCCTTGTAAAAATAGACATAAAAACGAATAATTTTTTTTAAATATTACCAGCATTATTTAATGTTTAACTATATAAAAGCATCAAACAGAAAATAAAAAAATAATCCATTTCTGTTTAGTGGTCTAATTGGCCATATTATTTATTCCAATTAATTATTCTTTTTATGTAAGGTCTTCGTTGAGATGAAAAAGTTAGTGTCACCAGTGGGACTCGAACCCAGGACCTTCAGCAACGGCGTAGTTCGACGAAGGTCGTGGGTTCGAATCCCGCTCGTGACACTAACTTTTTCATCTCAACCAAGACCTTAAATAAAATAATAATGAATTGAAATAAAAAAATAAGTTCAACGAGTTTCACTGGTCATATTTTCAGGGTCTGCATTCTCTCGCTGATGATTAACGTCGGATTTTTCTCTGTCCAGCAGATAATTAATTGTGTATGCTTACTACATAGTAACCAGCCAACCTAACCATCCCTATTACATAATTGTAAAAAAACTTTACACTCCTTCTACATAATTGAACCGAAACTCATAAACTCATGGAGGATCCCATCATTTGATTTTTGGTTCTGTCGAAACTTGAAGTTTGACGGGTCATATTTTTGGGACTGCATATGCTTCTGATTTTCCTTTTATATCGGTGATTAACGGTGAAATCCATTAGAACACCCGTTTACTAGTTTTATCAAACCTTTTAGAAATTTAGTTGATTTTGTCGGTCGTTTAAATAAAACATGAAGTTTATTGGAAGACCATATTAAGTATATTTGTGCATCCAATTTCCTGATGTTTTTAAATATATGAAAAAAATCACGAAAACTATTCATAAAATTTACAGTTTACGCTTTATATTGGATATTTGTTACTTCGAGAATTTTTCTCATCTCTCCCACATTTTGTAAATTCAGGAAGTTTTTGTTTAAAAAGCTACTAGAGAGTTGTAGCTAACAATGAACACAATCAGTCTTCATTAACTCATGAGTCGCTTGGCTCGTAACAATAGTCGGTCCTTGGAGATTTTGAAATCCTAAACTGGACGAGAAATCATAGCAATTGGCCCCAGCGGACTGGTCTAGCTGCAAGTTATACCATACCAAATAGGAAATGACTGTTGTTGGCCTTATTTCCCATGTAAAGAAATCCGGTGACCAATCGATCCCAAACAAATGAAACAGTTTAAAAAATCCAAACACAAACTCTTCTAACTTTTAGTACTCTTGCGAATATATGCCGGATCCATCGATTTAATTTTTCCCCTTATAAACGTGTTCTATTGATCTAGGAAAACCCCTTTTGGACACGTTTTACAGCTAGTAACGAAGAATCTACTGGATAATTGACAACGAGTACTCACGATTGTGCATTCGCAAGTGGATAAGACACGCCGGATAGATTATGGGCCATTTTATGGCATGCCTGTTGCATTACAATAAATCAACCTAACCATAAAAGGATAAAAGGATCAAAGCTGAAAAACAAGCCAAGTCCTTTTAAGTATATTATTTTCAACACCTCAAGAACGTTATGTACCACTAGTTAAAAAAAAAGTTTTCCCATTGAAATAACACAGAATAACTCAAATAGAGTCCGTTTTCCTATTATCGGCTATAAAATGAGTTTTTGCTGTTTGTGAAACGACCACCGCAGATGGTACGGCGACTAGTTTTTGCCTACATCTTTGCCTTCTACACGTATAATTACAGGTATCCAGTTTCATTTCGTCAAGGTGATGTTTTGTCCCGGCGTTCTTTGCAAGTCCCATGTCCATTTACGATTTTACAACACGATATAAATGCGGTAGGATGGCGCTGGGCTGCAATCAAGGCGAACTTCGTATTGCAGGATCCGCTTCCCCCTCGCTGTAATTTTGTAATTATTAAACCGTTTAAAAACAGTCTGATATTAATTCGATAAATGATCTACAAGATATTAAAAAAAACTCATGAATAGTTTTGCTTGTTTTGTCTTAACGGTAACTTTTATAAAAAAAAGAAACGTCAGGAAAAATATAAAATTATAAAAAAATGTATAAAATATATGTACAAGATGTATTGTATGATATTTATACCATAAATAAATATTTACATTCTTATAAACCCATTGTCAAAGTAAGATTTACACTTGACTATTCACAGCATTATTAACTCACTAGTTCATACGGCTTTGTTATTTTTGGCCACTTCTAAGGTGTACCGTATGTCCACAAAGGTTTTAGGACTTTTATTTTGTCTAGTAAGGTTGGAGACGCATCCTACCAACCAGCATAGTTGTCTATACCTTCAACCTATTTCTGCCATTTTATCTTCACGTGCATCTAAGGTCATACCCAGTTATTTAGCTGCATAGCTTATGGTATAATAGCTCCATCGATGGTGAGAGACGGAACATAGCCAATTTTTTTGTTGTAAATTTTACATACATAGATTTATACTAATTGAGCCTGATTCTCTAGTTTTTTGTCAATTTATTTATCGTGTTACAAGCCTTTTGAAGGATTTTGAATAAAAGGTTGATGGTCGATCCTACTGATATCACCGCTGTGTCATCTGAAAATGGTGCAATTTCTATTACGTATATTTTCGGCAAATCACTGGTGTATAACAAGCAGAGGACCTAATATACTACCTTGCGGCATTCCAGCATTTGTTTTTAATTCTGAATATTGGGCTTCTTGAAGAACTGTAAAGTAAAAAATACGATTTACACCTGTTACTATCTGGTATACAAAAACGGTATGGCTAAATACTGATAAGGGGAAATAACAAAACGTGCCTGTCCAAAACAGCGAGATTAGACGGACCATGAGATGATCAGGTATCAAAATCGAATATTTACAAACAAAAACCGATTATAACATTCTGAATCTTTCATGAGCATTTTTTAATCACTAGTAATAAACATGATAATATAAATAATTAAGCATAAAGTTTACTCAGTCAAGTTTCAGCAGAGAGTGTTGTTTTTGTATTTTTATTTATTTTTCCACATTCAACATTACACAACATTCTTTGTTGTGATAAAATAAATAGTTAATTAAGACTTAATTATTTTGATTTTATAATTAAGGTAAAGCTCCATGAGTGCTCTGACCTGCTTTGTTTGACCTTCTTATTCGGCAAATTTATTGTTGTGTTGTACTTATTTGAATTTTAAAGTTCCAATATCTTTTCTTAGTATTTCTTAGTAGAAATTTAGACTCAATTTCAACTTGCCTAGGACTTATCAATAATAATTTTATTTCATTTTAAGTCTGAATAATATTACACTAAATATTACAAGATGTTGCAACAAATTTTCTTTGAGGGTAGTGTTCCGTGTTTCCTCGAGAGATTTTTTTTATAGTTCTTGTATTAAATTAATTCTGATATTTTTTTAAATGTAAATGGACCGTTTAAACTACAGAAGTTCCTTTTTTTCACAAGGATCCACCCTTCCCGGATTCGCCTAAGAAGAAATTTACTGTGATATGCTAATCAGCATTATGCTGATTCTATACTGATGGAATTTCTCGCTTTCTTTCCCCGAGGGAGGTCGCTTTTAAGTCGTTACTTAGCATAAAATTGAATCCCATTTTTAAATTTGTTTTGTTTACTGTTTTTTTTAGCGTATTTTATGTTAATTTTAATCCAAAGGAAAATTTATTTTGTAAAATAATTTAATGAAAAGTTAAATAGCAAAAAGAATGTTTTGCTTATATAGCAAAATATACGTTTTAAAGAGCATACTTTTCATTTTTGTAAAAACATATTTATCGCCGTCTTTTCTGCAAAATTCTGAAATTTTGAGGTTTCCTCTTTTTCACACTAAAGTAGTATAACTCTTAAACTTCTGTCTAGAGTTAATTGTTCGATCGGGATCAATGCCCCTTTTAATTTTCAGGTCAGCTTTGTTTTTCCATCGTAGGCGAGGCACCGGGCTCATCCAGGTTTAAGGCCAAGTGTAGGCCATCGTGTAGGACGAAATATGACTATTTTTATTTGTAGGTCACTCTCAGGAATAAACACATCCGACTCTTATTTTATTGGACCGACATAAAATGAAAATGAGTACAATTTCGGTCTATAAAACGCCGGCCGTCGCGTCGTCGTGATTCACAACACCCACGTTTCGAAAAAACATGGGCTCATGTTAATTGCATAAGCGAATCCGACTGTCCTTGGTTCATCAGTTAACATTAAAATTTTATGACCCTACAGTTCCGGATTTGGACTTAATCAACTCATATTTTCAGATGGAGCGACTTCTTCCATTCGAAAAATGAGTGATGACCTCATCAAGATGAGGATAAATGGTAATTGTAGTTTAAACTGACATTTATTTAAGCGTACCTGAAAAAAATTACCATTTGCTCAATGGAATATCGTTTTCACTTCATTTGCTATTCTTTTTCATGCATTTGTTCAGTTGTTTTTTTTTCACCACTTAGCATGAATGAATTTTAGATTGTTAGTAGCACGTAAATGCATGTTGATCTGCATGATTTTTCTCTGTTATGGCTATTTAGAAGAAGTGGAAGAAGATTTTTATCCAGAAAATGGACGACGGATGAGTTATGACTACGACAGAAAGTCCTCCAGTGAGTAATAAATAACATTTCATTATATGTAAAAACAAAACAGTACTCTTTTTTTTATATAATTAATAATAATACAATAATATTTTTTAAAAATTCAATAAAGTAAATAAAATATTTTATTAGGAAACAGATTTGTAGAAATATAATCATCTTGAATTTTAATTTTGCTACATCAACAATACACTTCTTTTTGAAATTGAGTAATTTATAAGTATGATTCAATAAAATAACTAAATATTTTATTGCCAAATTTTAAGACTGTAGAAATTTGATTTGTAATGCTACTCACACATGTACACACATTCATGAGCATAATGCACACACACTATCATTTGGAAGTTGAGTCATTTATAAAATGATTCAATAAAATAACTATAATACTTTACAATGAAACTCTCGAGATTTAATTTGTAGTACTACACCTACGTATATAAATGATCATTATGATTGCTTTTCATGTCCATGCATGTTCTTAGAATTTCTTTATTAGAATATTGTGACTTTGTGTTTGTATGTTTGCACTTGTTTCTCTGCTTGATTTTTGCACACGAACCATTTGCATGATGCAGTCAGTGGATTATCATCGAATGATTCTCTTTGGGGTGATGCTAGAAGGCTGAGTGAGGCCGGTTTGAGAAGGACTTCAGGTAATTTCTTTTGGTTGCCTTGTTTTTCCATTGTACAGAATTCACTTATTGTTAGTGTCAATGTTTGTAGTTAAATAGAAGTACTACTTTGTTTCTATCTGTAATTTTTACTCTTGTAGATAACAGTGTAGTCCTAACTGAAGACACCGATAGTTTCATAATTGGGGACAGAGTATGGGTAGGTGGATCCAAACCAGGCCACATTGCTTTCATCGGGGAGACTCAGTTCGCCCCTGGTGACTGGGCAGGAATTGTCCTGGATGAACCCATTGGTAAGGAAATGGCTTGAAAACAAAATAAGATTCAATTAAATTTCCTGTTTGAATATTAATTCCCCAATTAAAAGTGTTAATGTTTCTGATTGGAAACGGTTCAAAATGTTTTAAAGTCATGCCAAATCGATAATTACAGGCTTGGTTAGAAAGAATGTTTAGAGTGGGATTTTGTTTTTTCAAGGTAAAAACAATGGATCTGTGGGTGGAATCAAGTATTTTCAATGTGAAAACAAAAAAGGTGTTTTTTCACGGTTGGGACGGTTGACACGCTACCCTCTGGTCAATCCGCTTACACCATCCAGCCCAACACCCTCGACGCCACCTCCAACGCCTTCTCCGGTTTCGAATGCTAAACTTTCATCAATTCTCAAAACGCCTTCTTTGACTAATCCTCCGTCTCCAGGTATTCAATATAAACCAGGATTTGTTTTTCTTATTTTTGAGGTACCTTTATGATTTGTTGTGGGCCTTTTGTTTGACTTTTTTTTTCAAAATTATTTACTTGGTTTATAACTGGATAGAATGTTAAAGCTTAGAATTAGCATATTTGTATTTATTACAAATTCAGCTTTTAAGTATTCAAAAGACCCACTTTCTGAATTCTCCATTACTTTCTGATTTATGTTTCTTTCTAGGTCAAATTTTTCCCCCTTTGTGGTCTTTTTACAATTTGATTCGAATATCAGAATAAACATTCACAAAGCACTAAGGATCAGGAAGAGATTGTATAATGAACCCTAAATAATTGTAACTACAGTAGCACATTTGCCAAAGAATATGACAATTAGTTATTTAACATTTTAAAATTGTAATTTTTCAGCAAAACGTAACTTCAAACTGATACTGCATTTTGTTTATAGTAATAAGTAGTAACTATTAACTAGTAATTTCTAATATAATTATTTATCAGCCTTCATATAAAATTGTAGTACATAATATCGTAGGTCTGTTTATTTTGTCTTTTCTATACATTTTGATTTACAATTATGATTAGTTCAATGCAAAAGTTTTTTTGCAAGTTTTGAAAATCATGAGTTGTTCGTTTATTGCAACATGCCCGTATCTGTTTTCAAGTTCCCACCGGCGAGTTGAAAGTCGGAGAAAGGGTGATTGTAATGAGCAGCCAGGGTTCGAAAGCCGGCGTCCTGAGATTCAAAGGGTACACGAGTTTCGCCGAAGGAGTCTGGTGTGGGGTGGAATTGGACGATCCCCTTGGTAAAAATGACGGCTCTGTTGAAGGCATAAGGTACTTCTATTTCTGTTGAAAAAAAAAATCTTGAACTCACAAAAAAAAGTTAGGAAACACTATTGTTGCATGCTTAATGTTTTTAACTTAAAAGGAATCTCTTTTTTTTTTTGAGTGTTCAAAAACAAAATTATATGAATTTAGTCAATGTGTCATTAACATTTAAAACAACAATTTAGATATTTTACTTGTGAGCCCAAATACGGGCTATTCGCTCCATCGCACAAAGTCAGCAGGTCGCCAGCCCCAGGAAGACGCCCATCTTGTCAAATCCACCATTCGTCAGTTAGAAGAGCTTCATCTAAAGAAAGTATCAATTCAACAGCTTCAAGCATTCGCACAAATACCACTTCCACGAGTACTGCTCGGGTAAGACTTGGAGTGAATTCCCTGAAGGTATGCATGCGCATGATGCATTTATTTTCCTTTTAATATATATTTATTTTTATTATAACTATTTCTACTATACTGTAATGTTCAGTGTTATAAAAGTAACAATGTGAACTTTTATTTTGCACTTGGGTGACTTGGTGGTCTATACTTCCCTTAAATATTAATATGTAGAATGGTAGGTCTTTGTAAAAGTCTTGCTTATGAGATTATGCATTTATTTTTATTTAATTTCTTCTCATTTTATTTAGCTTGAATATGTTATATTTTTAACTTTTAATTGTTGTATCATAATCTGCTATAAGTTTTTTAAATTAAATTAAATTTTTTAAATTTATTTTAAGTATGGCTCATTTCTTTATTCTAATAATATTTACACTTTCCATTTCTTACAGTAGTATTTTAACAATATTTTACAATACTAATATGCATTTAAAAGCAATAATGATATATCTTATGGGGGGTTTATGTTTATATTTTATTTTTCAGAAACCGATGTTTGCCCGTCCGTCCGCTTTGCCTGCTACACCCAAGCCTTCAAGTCAGGTAAAGTATGGCAACCTGCGACAAATCTAATTTTGAGATTTTTTTGATTTGTAGAACAGAGATTGTGGACAGCTTTTTTATGTTTAAATATTTCCCCTACTTTTCTAACAATGTGTTAGACTCCTTACTGACCAAAATTTGTCGCTTTAAGTAATAATGTATATATTTCATCACCTGCTAATTATTTTGTAATCCCTTCTTGAACTTTTATTTATTGCAATAACAAACACTTGAAAGTTTTGTATTTTCAAAATAAAAATGTAAATTATAATTTGTACAAATTAAAAAAAAATTACAATGTTTGTTAATTGTTTTCTGTGTGAAGTAAAACCTTGTATTTTAACCAGGGAAGGAAACTAATGGACTAAAACATTAACTGACAAATTTCACCGAATTGAGTGCTTTGAATTTTCTTGAATTTCAGGTTGATATGATAAGAAATTATTATCCTCTCTGGGAACGAGAATTCTATTAAACATGAACATTAGCATTGCCAGTCTTTTTGTTCTACAGTTTTTCTAAAAATATTTATTTTGGTTTTATTTTTGTATAACAGCTATTGGATTTTCAGAATAATAATAGACTGATCTCTCAGTGTAGACTAATATAGTGGAGTAATTATTTTTTTTATACTAATTTCAATATTTGTCATGAAATTTCTGTTAAATAATAATGTATTTGTTTGCTTTGCTAAGCTGAAATTTTGTTAACTTACTTGTACTTATTTTCATTGTTTTATTTTTTCTTTGTAAATAATATATGTTAATTTGTAATCAAAACAGTTACTTCCCTGCATTTTCTCTTTTCCTAGTTTTTAAGTTATTTATTACTTAAGTTTCTGAATGGGAAAAATAGCCATAAAAATATAAAAATCCTAAACAAATGAAATTTAAAAAAAAGTGTGATATAAAGTGGTTAATTTCTTTAATTTTTTTTTTTATTATTTAGCCAAATGACATTTGGCAAATTCAAGACTGAATTGCAATAAACTATTGGCGAACTTGTTGCTGCCAATAAAAGTTGACATCGATCATAGTCATTAAAAAAAAAAAAAAACAGTTAACAATTTTACCAAAATTTATGAAATTGTATGCAACAGAAAATTTCCTTGAACATATTTGAAGGCGTATATGAAATTTTTGAGAGCTGTGTTTGTCTCAGAAATATTTAACATTCAAGTTCTGCAGATACAATAAAAATAAAATATCTTGCACTACAATAAACTGTCTATACTGCCAAACAGATGTAACTGATAATAGACTGAATATTAAACTTGAAAAGAGAGAGAGAGAGAGAGAGAGAGAGAGAGAGAGAGAGAGAGAGAGAGAGAGAGAGAGAGAGAGAGAATCTACAAGAATAAAACTCTTCAATGAAATGAAGATGGTTGTTTAATGAAACCTTTTTAAAATGTGAAGCCATCAGATAAAGAAGCAAAATCTGAAAATGATCAGCACTTGGTGACTCTACTGAGTGTTAGATGTCACTCAAATGCCATCTAATGATGTTGACATATATTGTACTCTATGTAATGTTCACCGACTTGCAGACCAACAACCAAAACCAATTAAAATGATTGCTGGATTTAAAATATTATCGCAATCATATTTATTATGTAAAATACAATAATAAAATAACATTTAGAAACCTTTGCACATTATTTGAACCAAATATTATTGAAATACCTTAACACTCATCCTCTGTTTTTGACTCAATTAACTTTCATTTTACCTGTATAAGTAATATAAGCTGATGAAAAATAAATAAAATAACTTCATGAAGATAAATGCAAGGCAAATAAGCTGAAAGCAGTTTTAATGAGAAATGAATCTGCAAATTTGCACAATCAATCAAATCATAAATCATTAAAATTATTGTTTGTAGCCACCTTAATACATCACTGTCAAATAAAAACGAAATAATTTTTTTAGTTCGTCGTGGAAAATATTATTTATTAAATATAATACTGCCATATAATGTCTTAAAATGGAAAACAATCAAAATTTAACAATTTTTATTAATTTTTTTCAGTATTGTTATAATTTTTTAAAATATTAAACTGTGTATCCGTTAGATTCTTTGATTCAAATTTATATTCAGTACAGATCATGTTGTGAATCTGCTGACTTTACAAAAACAACCCGATATGTGTGCTTAATATCATTTTGTGCAGATGAAATATATCTAAACGCCTTAGTTAAAATTAGTATTATTTTGATGACAATTTAGATAAAATTGTTAACTGTTACTTTTATAAATAATAAATTGAATATGAATATAAATTTGTATTATAAGAATGACGCTAATTTTTAATGTGTTACCCAATATTGTTTCAATACAAACAATAAAAAACAATATTAACCATGTACTAAGTTGTTTTAGCACAGATCATAGAAAGCTTTATGTACTGAACAATAATTTATTGTCTTTGATGAAGTTTAGACTTAAATTATTTACAATTACTTAATGGAACTACTTATCTTTAAAATTTATTTATATTTACTTAGTTATTAGGGTGTTTGTTCTTTATAAGGCTAAATATTGTATAATGTACCCTCAGTGATTTTTTTACATTTTGTTTTACTTTATTTTTTCCAGGAGCTTTTAAAGAGCAAGCAGGATCAGATAAATCAACTGTTGAAAGAAAGGGAATTGGACAGGTCGAGTTTGACAAAAGCTGCAGAACAGGCTGATGAGGCTGAAAGAAAACTCAGCATAGTCCAAGTGGAATTTGATAGTGTCAGTCTTAGTAAAAACTTTTTTTTTGTGGAACATTGGTTTATAAATTTATTATTTTCTTTGTTTTTAGTTTCGAATGGAAGCTTCAAAAAAATTAAAAGAATTAAATGATGCTGTCACTTCTTTGGAAAAAGAGAAGAAAGACTTGCTCGTCCAGTTAGAAGATGTTCAGTTCAGAGCTGAAGAAGAAACGTTTTTCAAATCAGATATACAAGTAATTGTCAATAATGCGTTTCTCTTCGATTTTATATATTATTAAATCCATTTATTTTCAGGAATTGAATGAGAAAAATAAAGAGAAGATCAAAGAACTGACCAATCTCGTAGTGGAGCAGAGAGGTAGAATTGAAGAGTTAGCCGTAGAATCTAGAATGCTCAAAGATTCAGAGACAGCATTGATTTTGGTCCGGGAAGAATTGGAACACTTGAAAAGCGCGAAAGATACGATGGAAAAAGAATTCAGACAAGAACTAATCAACACAATGGATAGAGCGAATCGTATGGAGAAGAATTGCAATGAAGCGCAGGACAAACTCGACAGCATTTTAAACTCTAACGACACCAACAAAAATCTTCTTGAAGAGTCAAACACGAGTATTGACAATTTAAAAATAGAAATTGAAGAGTTAAAAGTGGCAAACAAAGAATTGAATGCCCAGATTGTTAAACAAGAAACTTTCAAAAATGACCTTTTAAAATCTGCCGAATTAAAAGAGGAAGATAATAGAATATTGACGAATCAGTTAGTTGATATTAAGAACAGTCTAGTGCTTTTGGAAACAGAAAGGAACAAATTGTTAGAGAAAATTGATCTCATTTCTACTAACAATGAGAAGGCAGTTAAAGATTTGAGTGTAAAAATTGAAGAATTTAATTTGTTGAACTCTAATTATTTATCATTGCAGGAAAACTGCAATAAATATTTAAAAGAAATTGAAGAAAAATCAATTCATATTGACAAATTAAATAAAGAACAATTAAATAACAGATCAAGTACTTCTAAATTGATAGAACAATTGAATGAAAGGAATCAACATGACAGAAATGCGTTAAAGGGTCAGTTAGACGATTGCAACACACAGTTAAAACTGATGGCCGAAGAACTGGAAAAAACAAAATTGTTAAACGCTGAAAGTAACAAGCAAATCCAAACGTTGACCGGTGAAATTGAAAGGCTCAAACAAATTATAGAAGAAAATTCTAATTCCATCGATTATAAGGAGAAAGAAGTTCTAGCTTTAAAAACAGAACTGGAACCCCTCAAATCTGAATCTCTAAAACTCAAAGAAAGCATGGAGGAATATAAAAAGAAAGATTTAGAATCATTACAGACCATCGGTGATGTTAAAACTCAGTTGGAAACATTGCAAAATGAGAAAAAAACACTCGAGACAGATAAAGATAACTTAAAACAGAAATTAGAGAATATGGGAAAAGAAAAAAACAATGAAATTGAACTACTAAACTCTCAAATTAACAACAAAGCAAATACAATTGCTAATTTAGAGCAGAAATTGAGTGAAACTGAGTCGGTTGTTAAAGAAAACCAAAGCATCATCAACGACAAATCTCAAGCTATAGAAAAGCTTACAAACAACTTACAAGGTAACAAAATTATAAACATTTAATTGCATCTAGCTTGATCCAGCCTATTCTCACTGGTTTTGTCTATTATACCTGTTTGAGCATTACGCCTCCTTCAGTGCGACTATCTGTTATTTTGTCAATTTTAACTTTTATATTTTGATAGTCAATAAGGATTATATTTTTCTAGAGGATCAAATTACGGGTTTATTGACTTAACCACATTCACAATTTAAATGTACATTTTGAAAGCTTAAATTTATTTTCTAAAAACCACAATTTATATTTATGTCAGAAATTCAGTTTTTCATACTACAATTAAAATCATCCAAAAATAATTCTAAAAATTATTTATTTTTTAAACTTTTAGTGGCCAGTGAGAAAATTACAAACTTGGTTAAGGCAGAGGAAGATTTACGTGAAAATGAGCAAAAGTTGACGCTTGAATTAGGAAATGTTCAACGCAAGTTAGAAAACCTGGAAGAACGTTGTAAAGAGTTAGCAACGCAGAAGGAAAAACTGGTAAGTGCTTTTTCACTTATATTATTAAAGATTTTTCATAATGATATTTTGTAAATTTTATTTAGGAAAATGACATAGTAAACGTGATGAACTCATCCTCCGACTCGTCATCACAGTTGACAAAACTCAATAATGAGCTGGTCGGCGTTCATAAAGAGTTTGAAAACTTTAAAACCAACTCTGCAACTGCATTGCTTGAAGCCAAAAACAAAGAGCAAGAGTTGATCCTCAAATTATCCTCTGCGAAAGAAGAGAATGAAAAGCTAAAAAATGAATACAACAATTATTTGAGTTCGTCAAAAGAAAGTAGTCTACAAATGGAACATACTTACGTAGAAAAGATTCACCATTTAGAAAATGAGATAAAGGTTTGTTTAACGACGAGTGAGAATGACAAAAAACAAAACACAGAGTTGAAAGAGAGACTGTCCAAATTGGAACAGACATACAAAGAAAAAATTAACTGTTTAGAAAACGAGATAAAGGTTTGCTCAATGACGAGTGAGAATGACAAAAAACAAAATGAGGAATTGAAAGAAAAAATACTCAAATTGGAACAAACTTGCTCGGAAGTGGATAATAAGTATGCAGAATGTGAACAGTCAAGGCAAGTATTGTTAAAAGAAATTGAGGAAACGAATAAAAAATTAACAGGCGATGAAAAGGAGAATTTAGATATGAAACAAAAATTAGATGACTTTGTCAAACAAGTCTCATCTCTAGAAAATGTCATCAAGAATTTAAATGAAGAAAAGGGGATTTTAGACGGAAGACTTGTCGAAAGTGAACATAAATATGAAGAATTAGCCAAGAGTTTGAATAAAATAAATGCTGAAAATGAACTGCTTTTAAATCAGACACAAAATTTAAAATCATCAACTGAGTCAGAACTTCTTAATTGGCAAAATCAAATTAAAGAGAAAGACAGGCTTTTGACAGAAAACGATTCAAAAATCAAGTGTCTAGAAAATGAAATTGAAAACTTCACTTCTATCATTAATCAAAAAACAGGTGAAGTCAAGTCAAAATTGGAAGAAATCGAGTTGCTAAAAAATAAAGTATCAAGTAAGTATTTAAATAACTTGTTAATCACACTTAATATTAATTTTTTTTGTAGGTGTAGAAAGTGAAAACAGTCGGATCAAAAAAGAAAATGAAAGTTTAGCGAAATCCAGAGAGGAATTGTTAAAAGACTTGAAAGAAAGAAATACAAAATTGTGCGATGATGAGAAGCGGGATTCTGAGAAAACACACAAAATTGAAGAATTGTCTAAACAGGTGTTGTCTCTCGAAAGCCTTGTAAAAAATTTAAACGAAGAAAAAGGAATTTTAGATGGAAAAATTGTGGAAAGCAAGCAAAAATATGATGAATTATCAAAGACGTTGAGCAAGATCAATGCAGAAAATGAACTCCTTTTGAACAAGTCTCAAGACTTGAAAACATCGACTGAATCCGAGCTTATTAATTGTCAAAATCTGATTAAAGAGAAGGACAAGGTTCTGGCAGAGAATTGTACAAAGATTAAAAATTTAGAAAATGAGATTGCCAACTTCACGTCAGATCTTAATAAAAAAACAGACGAAGTAAAGTCAAAATTGGAGGAAATCGAGTCCCTCCAAAGTCTATTATCAAGTAAGTAATAAAACAAAAGTCCAAATAACTTAAATATTCATTGAAATATTGCTGTTTTAAGGTGTACAGTGTGACAACAATCGTATGAATGAAGAAAACCAAAATTTAACAATAACCAAAGAGGAGCTTATGCAAAACATCGCCACGTTGGAAACTATGCTTTCAGCGAATCAAGGCCAGACCACAGATCTGACATCACATTTACAAAAATTTGTAAGTTTAATTTACTATTTGATTAATTAATTTATTGTAATATTAATCATTTTTGTTTGTAAAAAGTGCATCTCAGTACCACTACACTTGTTACATCAGTATCAGAAAAACCTAGCTTTCTAATTGTGTCAATAGTTGGGTAGTTGGCAGGTCACCCTACTTTCGAACCTATTTCTTAACTAAAAAGAATGAATGAGTATTGTTTTTTGTTCGAGTGATAGTTTATTTCTTTAATTTTTCTTTTAAAGACAGCTTTGTTAACTTAGTTTAGTTACTAAGTTAAATGTTAATATCTTGCCATAAAAAAACCTATTTTTTGATAAGGAATCTGGACTTTGAACATTGTGTTTATAAACAAAGCTTAAACTTGTACACAAGTAATTTACATTCTCAGGAGGAAAAAGGAATTTTTAGGGAGGAGTTAATTTGTAATGTTGTTTTAAATTTAAATAAATTATCATTCTACTGCAATGATGATTTTAAGATTAAGTAAGAATTTTCCATGTTATAACATTTGGTGGTTAAGTCATGTAGTCTGTTAATCAAAATTTACATTTCTAATTTTTTTAAAAATTACATGCCTATAAATTGTCACTGAATTGTCTGTTATTGTAGAAGATGGAATCTCAGAGCTTAGAGAAGACAAATGCTTTGCTTAAAACTCAACTGGACGAAGCATTGAAAGAGATCAGACAGTTAAAGGAAAAACCGAAAAGCAACGACAACATGCAAAATATGACGGACGAATCAAATAATTGGCTGGAGGAAAAAGAATTGGCCAATAGCGAAATAAACTTTTTAAATTCTATCATCGTCGATTTAAGGAATAAAAACGAAGCCTTGATGCAAAGGTTGAACGAGATCGATTTAGGAGAATCTTACGAACTGTAAGTATATTTTACATAAACATTAAATAAATATACAAAATTATGTTTTTTCAGGCAAAATAAAAAAGTTAAAGCAGTCGCGCCGAGACTATTCTGTGATATTTGTGATGTTTTCGATGCTCACGAGACGGAGGACTGCCCAAGGCAAGCGACAGAGTCACCGCCACCTTTGCAGGACCATAAACCAGCACCGAGGAATGTCGTTCGACCTTATTGCGAACATTGTGAAGGTATTTCTTTAAATTATTTATCTGGTTTTTAATTTTGCTTAAAGTATATTTTTCTTTTAGTCTTTGGCCATGACACGGCAGATTGTGATTATGAAGAAACATTTTAATATGCATTGACTAATGCTTTTAAAGTTAGGTAGGTATGGCTTTCAAAACTTCAAAGTTGTTGAGGATTGTTTGACTTATTTTAAATTGTTAATTTATTGTGTTATATTTTGTTGGTTATTAACTATTTAAAACTTATTCCTTTTAATATCTTCACCTGATTACATTACAAACTACTGAAAACATTTTTAGACTGGAAAAAGCTCAACTTGCCCCTATAGTTATGAATTAGTGCCTTAATTCTACCAAAGATTCTGATAATTACATGATAGGATTTTTAGATTGAAATTTCATTCTTGTGATATCTAGTGAACTTGTGCCAATTACTCTGTAGTGAAATTTGTAAATAATGATGTCCTGATGTAAATAACTGTTAATATAAATTAACTTATTGCATTTGTATTTTTGTTTGTAAACCCATATTTTTCTCACTTTATAAAATAATAAATTTAGATGCACTATTCTCCAATTATGTTGAGGAATATTGAATATTCTGGTAGTGTGAACTAAGTCTGGTGTTGATTTAATTTATTAGTTCAATTAAATATTCTCTTCATCTAAGGTCTTGGTTGAGTTGAAAAAGTTAGTGTTACGAGCGGCATTTGAACCCAAGACCTTTGGCTTCATGGATTCAAATCCCACTTGTGACACTGACTTTTTCATCTCAATCAAGAGTTTAGATAAAAAGATTTAATTGAACTAAAAAATAGTCAATAGTGGTCACTAAACATATATGGAATAATTTATTAGTGTGAAGGAAACAGCTTATCACCAGTTACCACGAAGTGCAGAATACTCAGTTTAAACAACAAACATCTGAACAGGTTTTTTAAATTTATTGTAGATTATCTGGAAGAAGGATCACCATTGAATTTAAATGCTTCATTGAGTGTTGTACCTAACACGAATAATGCAAAAAAGTAACATAAATCAGTTTTTTATCAGAGAAAGATAGATTTCTAGAAATCACTTTATAGAATAATGCTAATATGATACTTATAATCAGCAAAAAGCTTTTTGGGTTAAAGGGAAGGAATTTGGGAAGATCGTTGAGGTAAAGCGATAAAGAAGGCTTGATGTACTCCAACTCACACTTGGATCTGGAAAAAGCATTATAATTGGAAGAAAATCTGCTTGTAAAGGATAATTAATTTATTTTGTAAAAAGGAAGTAAATATTACAATATGAAATTTTACTGTTAACCTTTATTTGAATTAAAAGTCATCAACTGAAGGGTAACTTTTACATTAAAAACATCTGAAAGGCATATAATACAAAATTTACACGTTAAATAAATGTAAATTGAAAAGTTCTTTTCCAACTTGTTTCAATCCAATCTTTCCTTCCTGTCCTTGATCGCCTCCTGAAAATTGTATGTATGTAAAAAAATTCGTTCAGAAAATTATATGCAAAGCGGAGCTTACTTTGAATCTTTCTTCAAAGAGGGACAATTCTGCGATCAAGTCGGCAATTGCATTTTTCAAGGCGTTCTGTGGCGTTTCATCGTTTGTCGTCTGAATCCTGATCACAAATTTCGGATCCAACGGGTGCGGCACTTTATAACCGGCAAACAACACCTTAGGGTCTTTCAAAAGTTGGCTAAAAAATAAAAGATTAATATTGATATATAGCAAATGCAAAATAAATAAAAACAAATTTTTTAATCAAATATGTGTAAATACTTTACTTCCTAATCATGTTTCCCAATGTGTGATCCTCTTTGTTAATTGTGAACAAAGCAGCATTCGGTACCTTTGTATCTGTGACTCGCACAATCCTATTAAAATATAAATCAAATATAAATGCATGAGAAATTTTAATAATACTGAGCTAAAACCATTGCTTTTTAATTATTTTTATAGCTTTTTATCTATTAATTTAGAAAGTATGTTGCTAATAGAAGCATGGGTAGGAGCACTTTTTTCCCCATTCTGTCATGTTAACATAAGTAAAGTAAATCCTGCCAAAAAAGAGGGCTTAATTGCATACAGGGGTCAAACCACTTTGCAATACATTTTTCTTGCTATAATCAATTAAAAGACCATGGGCTCTGCCAGGATTCAGACCCAGAACTGCTAGCCTAGCAAATGCAAGACACCCTAACCACTTGGCCACTACAGTTCCCTAAATTTAGCACAAAACAATTAGCTTAAAAATATCAACAGGGAAGAAAGTCGAAAATACTTGCTTTACAAGGGAACACTTCCAAAATCACATATTTACACACCTCAAGTTGTCATTTTTATAGTAGTGGTTATTACCACCTTATTTTGAGTGTGACAACAAATTGTACCAAAATTGAAATTTTTTTAGCTAAACTGAGACACCCAATTACAGTGCTTTCTCAGAAATCCCAACTAATCCCTGCAGGGGGTTGGGATTCAGATTAATGAAAAATTCAGACTTTAGTACAAAATAAAGTATCTTAACATACACAAAACCTAATATAATACACACTACTGAATAATGAAAATCAGTTTTTAAACATTTATTTAACAATTAATTAAGGTTTTTAGTTGAGATAAAAAAGTCAATGGCACGAGTGGGATTCGAACCCACGATCTTCGGCTAGATACGCCGCTGCTCTACCACTTGAGCTATCGTGACCTCGATCCACTCGGACACCAACTTCCTATCTCAACCCCACCTTTTGAGTTTTCCCTTCCTTTTTGCTATTTATTTAACATTTTATTCATTTTTTGTGTGTAGTATTTAGTGACCGTTATCTAGTAGTATCTAGAGATTGTGAGATGTCGGTTTAGAAAAACATTTTCTTTATCATGCCAACGTTTCAATCTTTATTGAGATCATCTTCAGGGCCTGGGATTTATAAATATTGTTTAAATTATACAACTACATATAAGATATGTCTATGAATTTATTCAATGATGTACATAATATAGAAATTTTAGGTTTAATCAAAGTATTTTTACTTACTCAATGTGTGCGTTTTCTGTGTAGATGTGTCACTGTTGTGTGTAGGGTTGAGAGTGTTATGATCTCTAAAAAATCATTTTATTCATTGTTTATTCCTTTTTTTCTCACATTTTAAGCAGTAGGAATTTTTTTGCTGTTGTAAAGGATTGGTTCTACTCACAAACTTTAATTTATTACCACACCACAATTATTTCATAGAAACATGACCTCAAACTGTTCTAAAATTTCATTTATTAGAGTGGAGGCGAGGGAGGTAACAAAATAAATTGTTGAAAAATAGTATAATCTGATCTAACATTTAAATTTTTAAATCCATTATATTTCGTGGCCTGATTGACCAAATGAAGAAAGGAAAAATCCATGAGACCTAACTTTACACAGTTAAATAAAACCTTCAATCAATCAATAAAGCACTTATTTACTTACTCTCTCTTTTTCTTTAAAAAATAATCAATTTTGATACAAAATAAATTGAAACACAAACTACACTGAATATGGCACTTAAATGCTGCAGAACAAATAAGTCGAATTAATAAATGGGATATTGTAATGTTTTGTCATAGGAAAAAAAAAAAAAAACTTACAGACAGTATGTACTGTCATTGAGAGAAATACTGGTAGTTTGGTAGTATGTAACCCATATAGTTATTCCAATAAAACGAGTGGAATGTTTTTGCCTTAACATTTTAAATTGCTAGGACGAATCTCGTTATTTTTTAGTTGTAGATAAATACATATTATCTTACAAACCAAAAATTTGTGAATTGCAAAATATTTAGTAAAAAATGAGTAGAACTTTTGTCCTTCTATTCTATCTAAAATAACTTGTAAAGACAAAAACAGTCTGCACAAATTGTATGTAAAATGATAACTCATGTTAAGTGGATGAAAGATACATGAGATCTAACTTTACACTGTCAAATAAAACGTTTAATCAATCAAGCACTCATTCACTAACCCTCCTCATGTTATACAATCAAATTATTTGCGGTAAGAAAACTATATATGAGAGATCTAATATAAGGGTTGTCTATGTTACTTAGAATAATGCTGCTTTCAATGGGTAACAATAGGTCATTTTGCATAATTGTGGAATACAGCTCCTATCTTTTGTGTGTAACAAAGCGGCAGGATAATATTACGTGGTCCTGATCCGCTATGGTGTCCCTATTGCAATCACAGGCTGGGATATCTTTTATGCCAATCTTATAGAGGTGATGGGACAAACTGTTGTGGTTCAGGCGAAGTCTGCAGATGGAGGTAAAAAGTTTACTTGATCTATTGACCTCGCTGAACCATGGTTTAAATGGAATGGATGGTTGAATGCTTGCATATGCTTTCCCCAACTGCCTTGGTTGTGTTATATTCTTTTTGCCATTTCTCTCTGGCATACTTGGTAAGGAGTGCGATTATCGATGACTGTGACTTCTGGCGGCCTATTTTGCGAGAATGTCCACTGTATTATTGTACTTATTGTTTAGAAGGGCTTTTACCCATAACAAGACGTCCATACGTTGTTTATTTCCATTAAATTCTGCCTAATTGTTGTGATAAGTGGATCCTATGGGGACTAAGAATAATTTAAAGAACAATCATTCATTTGTACATTTATTACGTTAAACGTTGTAAAAAGCTGAAAACTTACTTTTGTTCACCATCGTAAAGGAGAAATGAATCGAAGGTCGGAGGCGCGTTCATTTTTTAATAAATTTTATTTGCAACTTGCAAACTTTGTTGTTGATACTTGGTACTGGCATTCGGCATTCGGCAAGTTAACCTGTCTCAATAAAACCTTTTATTTTTTCCCTGGCGCTTGTAAAAAAATATATATGAAAGGGTTCGTTTGGTTGAAATTTATTTTTTCTTCATGATAATAGATGTAGGGATTTTTCAATATTTGTCTATAAAGTTGTTTCAATCGATTTGCCCCGAATACGTGAAGGCGGAGGAAGAAGCGCGCCCGGTGGCGACCGTGGGACCCAGCCGGGGAAATTGTTTGTTGTCCACGGAAAGCCGTGAGAGGTGGAGTCAGGGCCCGTTCCCGTACCGTTTTCCTCAATTAATTTTATTTTTCTACTCAATCTCTCGTGTCGGCGTAAACTCCGATTCCGGGCATGGCTGGCGAAATCCCGGGCAACGGCGGCGCGAGCGGAGTCGAGGTCGTACGTGGACAGACGTTTGAAGTCGGCCCGCGCTACACCAACTTGGCATACATCGGGGAAGGCGCTTACGGAATGGTCGTGTAAGTATTTCCGATTTTCCCAATTCCAGCCGCCGGCCGTCTGGAAAAATTCCAATTTTTGCGTTTTCTGTCTGAAACGCCCTGTAGCGCGAGCCCTCTTTTTCCACCCTGGGGCCCCCCTTCGACTCTTGTAAATAAATCCTCCCTGATTAGACACTACTCCAGGTTACTCCTCCCTTATCAATGAAATATTTACAAAAACATTTTTCACCCAGGACAAGCTTGAAAATAATCGTTTCCCGAGTTTGAACCGGATCCTTGAAGAAATTTCATGTAATTGCTGTGTTGTTGTTGTTCGCCTTCAACAAGTTGTGGTCGTCACGACGTCTCCTGATAAAAGGAAAAACATGTTAAATCGTTTTCACAACATTTACCTTATAAGTGCATATAGGTCATTCAATGTTATCGACATATTGGAAGGGCTTTGAATTTGTTTACTTTTCATGCATAAACTAATGTCAATCAGTTGAACATTTCTTTGATGACAAATTATGAAACCTGCTTATACAAAGTTCGCCCGTTGTGTCGTTATTAATTAAAAAAAATTAAACTTGGCCTTTTCACTTCATCTATGATTTATCAGATTTATTTAAAAGCATCAATAAGTTTAAAAAGTTTGGGAAGAACATATAGGTCATTGTTTGAATTCAGTCGACGTATTGGAAGGATTTTAAATTTGTTTACTTTCCAAACATAAAATAATGTCAATCAGTTAAACATTTCTTGGATGACAATTTATAAAACGTGCTTATACAATTTCGCACGTTCTATCATGTTATTGATTAAAAAAAATTAAACTTGGCCTTTTCACTTCATATACGATTTATCAGATTTATTTAAAAACTTCAATAAGTTTAAAAAGTTTAGGAACATATAGGTCATTGATTGAATTCAGTCGACATATTGGAAGGATTTGAAATTTGTATACTTTTCAAACATAAACTAATGCCAATCGGTTAAACATTTCTTGGATGACAAGTTATGAAACCTGCTTATACAAGTTCACACGTTCTGTCACGTTAGTAATTAAAAAAAAAAAATTAAACAGCCTTTTCACTTCATCTATGATTTATCAGATTTATTTAAAAGCATCAATAAGTTTAAAATGTGTAGAAGCATATAGGTCATTGTTTGAATTCAGTCGACATATTGGAAGGATTTGAAATTTGTATACTTTTCAAACATAAACTAATGCCAATCAGTTAAACATTTCTTGGATAACAAGTTATGAAACCTGCTTATACAATTTCGCACGTTCTATCATGTTATTAATTAAAAAACAAAATAAAAAACTTGGCCTTTTCACTTCATCTACGAAATATTAGATTTATTTAAAATTTATCTCAACTAAAAACCTTAATTAATTGTAATATATTAATTGGTCAAGCGGACCACGAAATTAGTGACTTTATTTAAAAGCATCAATAAGTTTAAAATGTGTAGAAGCATGTAGGTCATGGTTTGAATTCAGTCGACATATTGGAAGGATTTTAAATTTGTTTACTTTTCAAACATAAAGTAATGTCAATCAGTTAAACATTTCTTGGATGGCAAGTTATGAAACGTGCTTACGCAAGTTCACTCGTCCTGTCATTTTATTAATTTAAAAAATTAAACGTGGCTTTTCACTTCATTTGTTTAAAAGCTTCAATGAAGTTTAAAATATTTAGAAACATATAGGCCATTGTTTGAATGCGGTCGACATTATTGGAAGGATTTTAACTATTTTACTCGTCAATTGTCATCCATAAACCAATGACAACTGACCTTCAGGTAAAGGTTTCTCGTATCACAAGTTATGAAACCTGCTTAAACAAATTGACACGTCATTTTATTAATAAAAAAATTAAACATGCTTTTTCACTACTTCTATTATACATTTAGCCTTTTTTAATAGTGTTTCAATTAAGTTTAAATGTTTAGATGCATATAGGTCATTGTTTCAATAAAATCGACATATTGGAAGGGTTTACTACTTGTTTACTTGTCCGTCAGTTAAACTTTTCCTTGATTACAACTTATGAAAGTTTGGAACATTTAGATAAGATGTAAAATGGTTCATTGTTGTTGAAAACAGTTTTGACTTAATAGTTGATGTTTCTTGTCGACCAAGTTTTGACTTTCGTTTACTTGTAATCCATAAACTAATGACGACAAATGGATAGTTCATTTTTATAAAGGTCAGCTTTATTTAGAACTCAAAATTCACCCTCTGATAAAATTTCTCTCTAAATTGTACGTTCTTTCATTAAACATAAATAAACGGAAAAAATCAACAAGCTGCTTTTCACAAACCTTTTTTTTTACCTATGACCTATTTTGTTTTGTACATGATACATGTAAGGTCATGTTTGCATTACCTTTCCCATATTCAGTATTGTTGTTTTATTTCCTTGACCCCATAAAATGTTCAACTATTAAAAAATAATTAAATTTTAAAAATTATTTCCACAAGTAGAGGCCGTCGGTTGACACCTGAAAGTAAAAATTAGATAAATCGTTTTTCTATCATCACCTATCAGTCATCTATGATGACCAACCATTCAACAAATTTTCACGAACAAAAATTTAAATTTTAGCAACATTCAAAAATGATTAAAATGCTTGTACGCATATAAGTCATTGTTATAATTTCGGAGGGTTTTTCACTTCGTTCACTTTTTATTTAACGTACAAATAAATGTACATCGATTTCGACCAATTTGTGACGGTGAAAACACCAACTTTTATTAGTAAAGTAAAAACGTGACTTTCCATGAACGAAGAAACGAAAGAAAAAAAGGTCATCGCTGGTCCTGGCCGATGTCACATTTAATATTACCTCTGTAAACAGATAAAAACGTTAGGTCAATGTGACAAATCAGTTGTAGAAAGTAAAACGCCAGAAATAAATTTCAAACTGTGGATCAATCAGTGGATATTTGTAAATATTTAATTGTTAAATCTCGATTACCGATCACAGATAAACCTCTGCTGATAATGTTATTAGTTATTCAAAGATGTTTATTTTTGTAAAAATGCTATATATTATAAAGCAATGTTTTTCTTGACTATTGTTTTTTAAAAATATTTTTTATTGAAAAATATTAGTTTATTTCTAGTTAATTTTATTTGGTTATACTTGATTTTTTTGAACAATTAAAATGTTTTGGAATTTTAGATATTTTTTATTTATTATTATACTTGTTTTAAAAGTCAAAAGATGATTAATTGAATATTACAACAAATGTTTGTTTTTACGAAAAAAACATTAAAAACATTATCGTGATAATTTATATTTGGAGTTGATTATATCAGCCGACAGGAAGAAGGCAATAAAATGTAAAGTAATAAATTCGAACGTAGAATTAAGATTATCTCATTTGAAATTCTCTTTGGGTCGTAAGCAATATTTGAACTTTTTTTTCTGCAACGCTGATAGCGTTTGTTTTAAAATCCCCGAATTATTTTCCCGCGAATAAAGTTTCGTTTCGGTTTTTGTATAAATGTGCAAATTTTTATGATCTGAAAATTTCAGAATGTGATTTTTGCATTAATTAAACATGTCCACAGCGCTCTCAACCTAATCTGAACTTCGGCTCTCCGAACATTCCAATAATCCGAACTAGAACAAAAATGTGTGGTGATTAGTGACCGTTAATCGATAATTATTCAGAAATCGTGAGATGACACCAGACCGCTTCTCACGATTTCTGAATAGAACAAAAAGTTAAAGGGGTGTGAATTTTAAATGAAACAAATGAAACATTATTTGGTGGGAAAAGAAGAGTGGAGGGAGAGGGAGTGTGTGTGTGTGTGTGTGTGTGTGTGTGTGAGAGAGAGAGAGAGAGAGAGAGAGCGAGCAAGAGAGAGAGCGAGAGTGAGAGAGAGAGCGAGAGAGAGAGAGCGAGAGAGAGAGAGAGAGCGAGAGAGAGAGAGAGCGAGAGAGAGAAAATAAGTGAATGAGAGAGAGGGTGTGAGAGATAAAGAAAAGATATGGAGGGAATGAGTGAGAGTGAACGTCGTTTTATTTAAATAATCTAGCAAATTTAGGTCGCCAAGGACTTCTCTTACAATTAACGAGAAGGAGAGAGATAGAGAAAATTAGTGAGTGAGCGAAAGAATGGGTGTGAGAGAAAAAGAAGAGAGAGAGAGAGAGAGAGAGAGTGAGAGAGAGAGAGAGAAAGAGAGAGAGAGAGAGAGAATGAATTTTGATTAAATTAAAAAAATCTCGCAAATTTAGGTTGCCAACGACGTCTTCATTAATTATTTCGTAAAGTGAACCCTCTATCTCCTTTCTCTACTAAAAATTAAAAAGTTAGTCTACATTTTTCTTGTACTAAGTGTTATACATTTATGTACCTACTGCTTAAAAATGAGGAAGAAGCAAGAAAATGCTATATAAATGTAAAAAAAACATTGATTTTTTAAAGAAAATACTAACACATGTATGTACTGTAATAGTTTTAAGGTTTTGTATATGCAATAATAATAATACCCTCTGGAGTGATTATTTCGGATTACTGACTGTATTTCGAGAAAAGTGTTGTTTTTGAAAAATACAAGAAATCGTCCTTTTCTTTTTAACTTATGAAATTATTTGAGAAGTAATTAATATTACATTCTAATAATGAATCTTTTATAATCTTCTCGTTTTAAAATTAACAACCTACACATTTTTAGGGGGACTTATAATGTAATCAAAACAACATTTGAACAAAAACTGACACAAACAAAAAAACAAGAAATATAAAATGTTTGAGAAAACCTTTCGGCTTTGGAGTTAGGTCAAGTTATAAGAAATAACAACTAAGAGAAAGAAAATAAAGTAAATTTAGTCCGTGACATCCAGTGAACTACGGAAATCTGAATGGATGGGGCAAATTGCATGGAAGTGTCTTCCCTTACTTTTAAATTGCAGACTGAGCATTGACACGTTTTCCCAAAGCTATAAGGGCTTAACTTATTGATGTCTTGCTTAATAAAGTAAAATGTATTTTCCCTTTTCATTGATTTATTTT